CTACCGCATAAAATGCGCGATATGGTCAAAAAGGAAATAGACAAATTGCTAAGAGAGGATATAATAGAAAAAGTGGAAGGGCCCACACCCTGGATATCCCTAATAGTACCGATAGTCAAGAAATCAGGAGAAATACGTCTTTGCTTAGATTTGCGTCGAGTGAATGAAGAAATAACGCGACAACAATATCCTTTACCAGTATTCATCGAATTACTCGATAAAGTCAGGGGTGCCGAGTATTTTTCAAAATTAGATATTTGAGGGCCCTTTAATCAAATCGAGTTAGAAAAAAATACACAAAAAAGTATTACCACATTTAGTACAGATTTTGGTTTATTCAGATACAAAAGATTAGTTTTCGGTTTAAATTGCGCACCAGAGATTTTTCAAGGAATACTAGAAAACATTTTGCGGGATATTGAAGGTGTAATAAACTGCGCAGATGATATTTTGATTTTTGGAAAAAATTTATACGATCATAATCTAAAACTTAAATTAGTACATGATAAACTTTTAGAGAAAGGTTTGACGCTCAACAGAGAAAAATGTATTTTCGCGGTTAAAGAAATTGAATTTTTGGGATTTATAATAAACGGATCAGGATACCGACTGATGAAATCAAAAGTTAAAGCAGTACAAAACTTTAGGAAGCCTAAAACAGCAGAGGAAATTAGAAGTTTTTTGGGGCTAGTAAACTTTTGCGCGACATTTATTCCAAATATGGCAACAATTAGTGAGCCATTAAGAAATCTAACACGGAAAAATGAACCATTCGTATGGGGTAGCAAACAAGAAATAGCATTTCAGATATTAAAAAAAGAACTAACAGGATCAAAAACATTAGGTATTTATAACCCGGACGCGAGAACTAGAGTAATTGCTGATGCTAATCCAGTAGGTATAGGCAGCGTTTTAGTACAAGTTTTAGTACAAAAACAAACCAGCGATGGCGAATCATAAGTTATGCGAGTCGGAGTTTAACCGATGAGAAACGCGGTACTCACAAACAGAAAAAGAAGCCTTGGCACTCGTTTACGCGTGCGAAAGATTTAAATATTGGTCTTTTGGTATTGAATTTGAGCTGGTTACAGACCATAAAGCTTTGGAATGCATATTTGCGCCAAGATCAGAACCTAGTAATCGCATAGAGAGATGGGTGCTAAGGCTCCAAATGTTTAAATACAAAATAATCTATGAAGAAGGAAAAAATAACATAGCAGATTCGTTATCTTGATTATTGGAAGTAAATAATAAAGGGGAGAAAAGTAAATGCAAAAACGAATTGTTTATCGCGTGGGTTACAAAGGAAAGTGTGCCAAGAGCAATGTCAATTGAAGAAATAGAATTAGAGTCGCGCGAAGATCGGTGGTTAGGCGAACTTAGACAAGCAATCACAAAAAATTGCGCAGTTGGAGAAGAAGAATTGGAGACAGGAACTGCTAGACTATTTACTCATGTATTGTACAACCCCGCACGGGCGAGTCAACGGGCGTTACATCAGCGGAATTAATGTTCTGTGTAATGGTCGAAAACTGAGAACTAAAATGTCAGAATTGCGAGAAACCAGAAATTTAGACAAGGCTATTAGAGATAGAGATGCGTGGAGAAAACTAAAAAGTAGAGAACGATATGATTCTAAGAATAATGTGAAAGAAAGTGAATTAAAGGTAGGCGATAGAGTTTTGTTGAAAGCGATAAAAAAAGATAAGCTAAGTCTGGAATACGATAGCGGAAGATACAAAGTGATTGAACGATGCAATGATAATGTATCGGTTCAAAACGCGGATGGAAAGATGTTTAAACGTAACGTAGCGTATGTAAAGAAATTTAATCAGGCAAGTGAAGTAGATGAGGATGTTGAGATAATATCGGAACAAAATGTTAAAGTAAAAACGGAGCCACTAGATGAATCCATCGTTATAACGGAAACAGAACCAAACGCGAAACTTAAGGTAGCGCAAGAAAGGTCTGTGCGAAATAGAAAACCGCCCAGTCACTTGGAGGACTATGTATTAGAATAGGTAAAGATCAAAGCTAGTATAATAGCTTTAAAAATTTTATAAGTTCATATATATAATAATAATAAGTTTATAAGATCGTTTAATGTATATGTTCAAGCTGTAAGTCATGCAAATAGTGTATAACAAGTTTACCTTAAAAAAAGGAAAGGATGTTATGTATGTTTGAGCCAATGAGCGAGAGAAAGACGAAACGCCTGCGCAGAAAAAAGGTATATAAGGCGACACGGACAGACAGACAGACAGAAAGCAGGAAATCCTCGAGTGTGAACAATAAAGAGCGTGCAATATCGAGTAGTGTCTAAAGTTTATTAACCGCTCGATATAACATCACGTTTACCCGTGAAGTGCATGTGTAGAGTCGAATATATCGTAAGTATTGTTGCCGTTTTATCGTGTACGTGATTGGTGGTCGATTCGAGGCGATTGCAGTTATGAAAATGACAATTCGTATCGTGACAGTTTAACGGTGAAAGGTTAATGACAGTTTGTATCGTGTTAATTTAACGGTGATAATATCGTGGTGTTAATATTTCTCTAAGGAATAGATAATATGACATTATTAAATAATAATATTGTTCAATATTATTTTATATATACATATAAATATACAAATTTTAAATGTTCGAATAATACTAAAGTTAATTTTATTTAAAAAATTTTATTAAAGGTTAAAGATAGGACGAAGAATATACAATAAAAAAAATAGAAAAAAATGAGAGAAAAAATGTAAGAAGATTTGAAATTAGAAAAGGCAAAAAATAGAAAAAGAAATAAAGAGAAGAAAGGAAAAAAGTGAGAAGAAAGAAAAGAGTAGATAATATAGTAATTAGGTAATAATATTGTTCACATACAACCACACACGCACATAAACAATATTTTATGTGTATATATATATATATACACATAATGGTAGAAATTGCCTTGCCGGTGCCACGACATTTGTTAGCACCATGCAAGTTTGCCACACTACAGCCTTATCTAAAAGAATTGGAAAGATACATATTAGGGCCATCCTTGCGCCTGATATATAAATGGCGTGGCATTCATTATAAAGTTAAACGGGCGCAAGTCTGGATTTGACCAGACTTCTAATGCGGCCCATATTTGCCCCACGTCAAATGCTGTCGAGATTTTTATTGCTTTTCACATTTAATGTATATCTTTTGTCATACATATATCTCTTGTTTTTTGGATCCTTTCCTTTGCCTAGATTTTTTGCATGCATCATCAGCTCATTCGGGGTAAAATTGCACGGTAAGTATTATAATAATTATATGAATTAACGCATTTACACCCCCCCACACAACACACAATATATATATATATAATTATATGCATAATTATGTTCTTTACATATAAAGAATTATTATTAAGAACCTTAAAATTGAACACAATAATAGTTCTAAGTATATAATATAATATATAAGTATGTTTGCTACAAATTATAAATATATGGCTCTCAAAATTTCAGCATTATATATAAAGATATATTTACAGATGTCTGACAGCGATGATGAACAAATGGTTCATCGGTTTAAAATTGTCAGATTTATTAGAAAAAGAAAAAAAGGTTCCACAAAAGAGATTGATATCGTTCCTTCAACTTGGATTAATTGGGGTAAAAACACTAAACGATTGAAAGTTCCTTCAACTTGGATTAATTGGGATAAAAACACTAAACGATTGAAAGTTCCATTTCTTTCACTTCCATATATAAAAGAAGGGATAAATAATCTCCATGATTTGGTTAAAAACGAAGTGGAAGCACCAGAGTCATGGCCACTGTTCAGTGTTGACATTGTGTGGTCAAGCAAGTATGTATTATATACAATTTTATTTTTTTAAATAAAAGAAATTTAATAAAGTTCAAATTGATTAGATGCTCACAGACTAGCTTCATCCAACAGAATGTTCATCAATCTGTTGGATTGTATCTGATCTGGAAGCACCTTGATGCAGTTAAAAATTTTTCTTACGGATTGATTAAACAATGTAAGCTTATTTATTCAAAATTAATTATAATAAATTTAATAAAACAATAATCTTATTTCAGAAACATATTCAGAAGCTGTTGATCGCTTAATGCTTCTTGGTCAAAAGGAGACTGCTTTTTCACAGGATTCGGAAGATGACGAACTAAAAATTAAGAAAGCACAAGCAATTTATCAATAAAAAAGATTTTAAAAAAGTGCGGAAGAAATTAAAGAAATTTTTAGTAGAACTCCTATGTTTACAAAAAAATCTTGTAGTCAGTCAGGTATGATTATATTTTAAAATGTACAATATTAATATTTATTTTAGTTAAATTTTTAACTGTATTAAGGTGCTTTCAGATTAGATACAATCCAACAGATAGAGTTTTACGACACATGTACACTAATACCAAAGATGAAGTACAAATATCTTTGTAGTAATACTATGTAAGCGAGTTAAGTAAGGCCATGTTTTTTATTTCATCGATGGATCAAGCGCATGATACGTAAATGCTACACGTGCAGATTTGCGCATAATGCGCTTGCTCCATCGATGAATTAAAAAACATGGCCTAAAGCTCACGGGCTACGAGTCATTTTACTGTACAATTATAGTTTAGTTAAAGTTCAACATGTAAATTAATAAGACGAGTTCTATAATATTTATATTTTCTGCAATATAAATTTTAAAATTATAAAAAAATATTATTTATACTTTATTTTATTATACCTTTTATAATTAATATTAGATATGTAGATAAGATAATAATGATTAATGAAAAATATATATGATGTATTAAATAAATTTGTATTACATGTGCAGGCAATGTGGCACTTTTGGTGCACGATTTTTGTGCCGAAAGTAACCAATTTCCACCATCGACTTACAATATATTACATACTTATGTTCAATGCATCCCAAGCCGGTTTCAATGTATTTCCTACGGGTTTCAACGCCATCTCCCAGCACACACGAAAAATAACTAGCACACTACCGCCACTTCGCGCCTGCCCAACACGCATCTAACCTATCAGCTACTCGTATCTCGTATCTCACTCGCTTCACGTAACATATCACCTACTCGCATATCAGTCATCTCTGCGTTACACAAAACTAAATTCATTAAACATACAGTGTTCAAAATAATCAAATATAAAAAAACAATCCTAAAACTATGACAAGTGACAACATAATGGAATTATCAACCAGCGAAAACGAACTAACAGAACCTCCTAAAAGAAAAGAAACCGCTGGAGCTACGATATAAAGTCTCTTACCCCCAAAATCGAGAGAAAAATACGAAACAGCATACAGCAAGTTTATAGCATGGAGAGCTAAAAAAAAAAACCAAATCGATGTCTGAAAAGACACTTCTCGCATATTTCATAGAGCTATCGAAATCTAACAAGCCATCGACTATGTGGGCAACATACTCAATGCTCAAGACTACAATAAATATAAAAAATAATATCAACATCAACAAATACGAAAACCTCACTTCATTTCTAAAAACACAGTCAAAAGGATTTCAGTCCAAAAAAGCGAACACATTGACACCGGAACAAATTAAAAAGTTCCTCGATGAAGCACCAGATCAAACACACTTAGCGACAAAGGTAAATATCAAACATAAAAAATACATTATTACATAATAACTAAAATATTAAACATAATTACAAATATAAAGTAAATAATATAAACCATACCACAAAAAACTTCATACATTATACACACGCATACTCAACTATTTACAAATTTATACATTACATATATTATTTACAGCTCGCTACTATCTTTGGAATATGTGGAGCATGCAGAAGAGACGAACTAGCTAATATAAATATGGAACACATCAAAGACAGAGGATCTCTATTGCTCGTTACAATTCCAACCACAAAAAACTATAAACCGAGAAGCTTTGTAGTAACAGAAGAATTTTACAGTATTTATAAAAAATACTTAGTCTTCAGACCACACGACATCAAAACACCAAAATTATTTCTAAACTACCAAAAAGGAAAATGCACCCATCAAGTGATTGGACTCAATAAATTTGGCAAAATGCCAACGGTCATCGCAACTTATCTGAATCTACCAGATCCTAACTCTTACACTGGACATACATTCCGTCGTACTTCTGCCACGATCTTGGCAGACTCTGGAGCAGACATACTCACACTAAAACGACACGGAGGATGGAAATCCAACGCAGTAGCTGAAGGATACGTGGACAACTCCTTTACTAATAAAAAGAATATTTCCAATCAAATCACAACCACGATAACAAATAATAACTTTCCAACTTTTCAATCAGCAAAAACAATTTACGACCAAGCACAACCATCCACATCTACAAACTGCATACAAAACGACAAAGAAAATGAACCTACAAACACTCAAACTGACACTATAGATCAACAAAATATCAACAAGAATTTAACTGAAATATTGTCTGCCTCTAAACTAAAAAGTATTACATTCTCAATAACTAATTACGCCAATCTCACAATAACTTTACCACCAAAAGAAAACTAATATTTTTTTTTTCATTTCTTCACTTTATAATGAAAAACAATTTCTTTTTAAAACATGATGTATCAAATTTATTATTCTGCTTATAATATAATTGCAAATATTCTTTTTAATTACTTATAATATACTTATACTTATAATATAATATATATTTCCATTCAAATTTTTCCTTTTTTTTTTTTGAAAAAGCTTTAACAATTTATTTCTCAATTTTCACATGATTATGTATTTCTTTTATATAAAATCCATTCAACTTATACTATATAAAATAACTGCAATAAATACGTCTTCCAAAAATGATAAATACAACATTCCCAGGAAGGGAAGAGGTGTTAGTTCGTTTTCGCTCGTCGAAAATTCCGTAGCAATAATTTGCTTTAAACAAAAAAATAAATTAGAAATAACTCATTATTTTATATATTCAACTCTATATAATTATAAATCTATTCTATGTACACTTCATAATTACTATTTAATTTTCATATATTTAAAAATCTTTATCCAACTTAATAATTACAGAAAATTAATAAATTAAAATAAGATCTCAAGTCAAAATCATTTATTTAAATTCTAAACGTTTCGACCCACTTGGGTCTTTCTTCAGTAGCTGCAAAATACAAAGAAACAAAAAAAAAATAAAAGATAATCGGTACAATCAGAAAATATAAAACTCGTATACATACAATCCGCAAATAAATAAATATCATTCTCCTCCCTATTCGAACCGTCCGGCCGTCGGAGTGTCTCCTAACGGTGACATCGTCAGGAAGGAAGCAGAGCAGTGACTCCCTTACCAACACTAATCAACATAGTATAAATTAAACGTGTAAGATCCCCAATTATAAATTAAAAACCGGGAGAAACACTCACCCCGACAGCAAAAACAGAGAGAAGACGATGCTACACGTGGACACATCACTCTAACGACTGTGCGGTATTCTACCTCGACACAGTCGATACATATATACGCCAAAAAAAACAAATATAAAAATAAAAATGAAAATAAAGAGTGATGTGTCAACGTTGTAGCATCGTCTTCTCTCTGTTTTTGCTGTCGGGGTGAGTGTTCTTCCCGGTTTTTATTTATAATTCTTGGGGATCTTACACGTTTAATTTATACTATGTTGATTAGTGTTGGTAAGGGAGTCACTGCTCTGCTTCCTTCCTGACGATGGTCACCGTTAGGGAGACACTCCGACGGCCGGACGGTTCGAATAGGGAGGAGAATGATATTTAATTTATTTGCGGATTGTATGTATACGAGTTTTATAATTTTCTGATTGTACCGATTATCTTTTATTTTTTTTTGTTTCTTGTATTTTGCAGCTACTGAAGAAGACCCGAAGTGGGTCGAAACGTTTAGAATTTAATAAATGAGTTTGACTTGAGATCTCATTTTAATTTATTAATTTGTGCATGTCATCCGCACAGGCTCCGATTGCGTCGTCGAGATTTTATTTTTATTGTAACACAATAATTTGAGCCGAAATTAACAGTTTTTTTTTATATTAATAATTACAATATTTTTATATACATCAATACCATAATGAATACTTCCTACATTAATTTCCCTTTCTACTAACTCTTTACAAAACTTTACTCAATCTCAAATACAATTTGTTCCAACCTACTCATTTTTCAAATAATTTATAAATAAAATTTACAATTTACCTTTTCTTAACAAATTAATTACAGTATTTAATTATTAACAGTATTTTTTTTTAAATACCACCACTCGTGCGGGTAAACGCACTCGCCTTCGGCTCGTGCGTCCACCCGCACTCGTGTGGTACACACACCACACACACACACAGGCACACGCACCAACTCTTCTATGCACTTGTAATACAAAATAGTATGTAATGTACTATTTATTTTGTATTAATTTTAATTTTCAATTTTTTTTTACTTATTTATTTGGCGCAACCTTTTGATATCATTTTTTTTAGAAATATATTAATTTTACAACATAAGTTTTATATTTTATCTATAACGTTTTACACATAAACTTGGCGTCTTTTTTACCTTTTTTTAAAAAGGTAATTTTTTATGATATATATAACCGTAAAATATTCTCTAATATAATTATTAATGCATTCATTAATATCTATAAGCTATGCTGTGTGTCTAGAAGAAGATTGCGTTCAATGCTTTATCAATTGCTTTAATAATAAAATATAATCACCCGCCATGCAAAATCCGATGACTATACAATATGAAGTTATTTTCATAAAATTATCTTTATTTATCGAAGGTGATAATTTCTTTCAACACACAGTGAAGGAAAAGAACACAATAAAAATAGAGAAAAAACAACGTTCTCACTTCTATAACAATTGATTATTAAATCTAGAATGCATGGGCAGGATCTGATGCTGTATATGATCACTAAATATTTCATATTGTGCTTTAATATAAAGATTTAAGTATAAAAAAAGTTTATCGTTTAAAAAATATAAAATTAAAACTGTAAATTAAATACGAAATAAACCTCTAAAAGATAAAAAATCAAAATTAAACATAAAATCAGTAATTACCTAGCTAATAATTATTTACAATTAGAAGTAAATCAGTTTGTAAAAATTTGTAATTTGAAACAGTATTTGCAATATAAAATTAATCTTGCTTATAGAAATATGATGAATAATAAATTCTCTAAAGAAAATAATAAAATTACATTTTATTTTTTTATTTAAAAAATCTAATTTTTAAAATATAAGTTCAACTTTGTATGATAATTACACTGCTATATTTTGAAAAGTAGATTTTTCTTAATAAAAATAAAATGCATTTTTATTTTAAGAGATCATTTGTAATATATCTATAAGCAAGAATGATTTTTATGCAAATATTTTCAATTTTTAAATCCTCACAAACTTCTAATTGTATTCTAATTGTATGTTTTTAAAAATTAATTATTAATTTCATAATTAATTTCAAGTTACATTTTTTTGAGGTACGTACATTATATTTAAAAAAACACATTTTTTAGAGATATACTATTTTTGAGGCCATTACATTTTATAATAATATATATTTTGAAGTTTCTCTGTTGCCTATAAATTATTCCTATAATATTATATAGATATATTCCTATAATTTGAGTATATTTTTATCTTTGTATGAGAGATTTTATAAAAAATATTATAATTTATTAATTAAAATTTTTTGTAACTAGTAAATTAATTAGCTTTTCTATAAATGTTGTGTTTCTGAACAATAATTTATTATACATTTCCTCTATGTTAATAGTATACATTTTTAAATATTTCAAACTATATATTATTTTAATTATTGGTTGTTATTATAATCATCAGTCTAAATTAATTTTAATATATTAAATAAGTGAAACATTTAAAATTATTTATATTAATGTAATTTAACTGTGCCCAATATCATTATTTTGATATACTATTGTATATATTCATGTTTATATATATTTATATACACATATATGTTTATGTATAAGATAGTTTAATTAAAAATTTATGAGAAGTAAAACGAATAAGCTACTGATAGCTTCTGTAAATAGGCAAAACTGTTTATATGCCAGAAAAAAATTGTATCTACTTGGTGTCACGACTTTACTGTTTCGCTTGAGTACTATACTTTCTGAAGGATTTTTATTTCAACGACGTTATATGTCAGAAGCAACGTTACCAGATTGAAAGGCTAGAACAGATAAAATAAAAAAAGAAGCAATAGGAAAGGATTCAATCCCAAGAAATAAATCGTGTCACGGCTTAATGACAAAAAATAATAATGAGTGATATGTATAAAAAAATATGAGAATAATACAATATTAAAAATAATTTATAAACATTTTAATATAGCAAATGAATAAATTAAATTGCAAGATTTTTTCTAAAGCAGGCACAAAAGCTATAACAGTAGATAAAGCCTACTGTCTTTTAGAAACAATATCAAGAGGATTAACAGACATAGATTCCTTAAATCTTTCCGGTACGAAATATTTTTTTATCGAAATATCATATAATTTTATTCGTTCAAACATTCCTAAGCTTACTGACTGCATACCTCGAGCTCATAACATGTCGGAATTCCTTTTTTTCTTTTAGCCAAAAGTAAAACCAATAAAACTACGGGATACAAGACCATAAACCTTTTCTTCCGAAACGAAACGTTGCCTAAGGAATATAATGGAATTCTATTTTTCCGTCTAAATCTTTTAAAATTCTACCGACCATACCTCGAGCTCTTGGAACAAAGATCCAGCTTAGTTTTCGTTTATAATTATTTGATCAAATAATATCTTTATATATTTTAAATATAATATAGGTACTAGATAACACAAGCGTGCGCTTTGCGCGCGCTAAACAAATTTTTACTCCGCGAGTGTATATAATTTTAATTCGCCGAATTTCTATTATGTAAATAATTGAAATTGTACCTAATAGAAATTCGGCCAGTTGAATTTATGTACACAATAAAAGTTTGACGAATTGAAATAATAACGCATAATAGAAATTCACGAATACTTATGTATTGTACATTGTAGAAATTCAGCGAATCAAAATTTAAATCATAATGGAAATTCAAGAATTAAAATTAGGTACACAATGAAAATTCAAGAATAAAAATTATGTATATAATAGAAATTTGAGAATTAAAATTAGGTACACAATAAAAATTCGGAAATTAAAATTATATACGTAATAGAAATTCGGTGAATTAAAACTATGTATACATTACAGAAATTCTCTATTTCAAATAATGCACATCCCTGACATACAGAGATGATAGGACTATCTGTCGTTTAACACTTTAACTGTGATAATAATAAATTGAAAATTGAAAATATAACTTACGGCAGTGACGAATGTATGGAAAAGTTTATCCGAACCATGATACTTGAAATTTTTAGCAGCTGATGGTCTGTGTCTCGATACGACCGGTGTACATCACGATATTATTTTTCCCTTATTTTTCCCTCGTGGTTTTTGAGCCTATGCTCTACACGCTGGTCCATCGAACAATGTGGCAAGTGGAAGATTCGCTCGTAGGGTAGGAGACCGTTGGCAACGCA